ATTAAATGTCTGATGGCTGTTCAACCTAGTAGTGGAGCTGTAACATTTGGAGATGGACAAAAGGGTAAAATCGTTGGGAAAGGTGTCCTAAATGTTCCAGGTTTACCTCAATTACAAGAAGTCTTGCTAGTCAGTGGATTAAAAGCGAATCTTATTAGCATCAGTCAGTTATGTGATCAAAATTGGAATGTATGCTTCGATCGTAACTGCTGCAGAGTGAGTGACAAAGCAAATCAACTTTTCATGGAAGGAACTCGGTCTTCAGACAACTGTTATGTTTTGACAAATGAAACTGCTTGTCACCTATCCAAATCTGATGAATCAAAACTCTGGCATAGAAGACTGGGTCACATAAATTTCAGAGATATGGATAAGATGATAAAACTGGAAACAGTAAAAGGTGTACTGAAGATCAGAATTGATCCAAAGAAAATTTGTGGCGCATGTGCTATTGGGAAACAAATCAGAACTCCACACAAAGCAGTAAGAGGTATCACCACTGAAAAATGTCTAGATCTTGTTCATATAGATCTCATGGGGCCAACACAGACTAAAAGCATTGGAGGAAAGAAATATATATTTGTGTGTGTAGACGATTTCTCTCGATACAGCTGGGTTTACTTTCTGAGAGAAAAGACAGAAGCCTTCAAGGCCTTCAAGACTCTGTGCATAAGAGTTCAGAAGGAAAAAGATGAGTCTATTATAAAAGTTCAGAGATTGAGGAGTGATCATGGAAAGGAATTTGAGAACTCACTATATTCAGACTTCTGCTCCGAGCATGGTATCTCACATGAGTTCTCAGCTCCTAGAACTGCTCAACAAAATGGAGTGGTGGAAAGAAAGAATCGAAGGCTACAGGAAATGGCTAGAGTTATGCTACATGCCTCACATATGCCACAACGTTTCTGGGCTGAAGCAGTACACACAGCGTGTCATACTATAAATAGGGTCTACCTTAGACCAGGAACGACGAAAACTCCATATGAGATCTGGAAGGGAAAGAAGCCAAATCTGAAATACTTTCATGTGTTTGGGACAAAGTGCTATGTGCTGGCTGACAGAGAGCAAAGAGGGAAGTTCGAACCCAAAAGTGATGAGAGCATCTTTCTTGGATACTCTCCGAACAGTCGTGCCTATAGAGTCTACAACAAGAGGACTCAGTCTGTGATGTAGTCAGTAAACGTGGTTGTCGATGACAATCCAGAAGAACCAGTGGACTCAACAGTGATAGAGTCACCTCTACGTGTGATACGAGTATATCCACAGTAGAAGAAGGTGAAAATCATGAATTGGGAGAAAGAAAAGAAACAACCCATGCTACTATGCCAAGGAGAAAACGAAGGAAACCGGCATGGATGGTTGATTACATTTGTTAGACTAAGTTTATTCGTAATAGGATACATTAGTTTAGTCCTAATACATTATTATATCATATTAATTAGGAATCATAGTCCTAAGCATAATAGGAGTAACTTAGTATATAATCACCCTGCATGCTAGAGGGAAAGACATGCGAATTATTATTATCTTTTTCTTCTCTACTATCATCTTCCTTCTCTGAAATCTCTCTCCCTCTCTCTCTCCCTCTCTCTCTCTCTGATTTTCCCCTCCCCTAATTCCATCTTTGGAGTCTGCATCCACTCAAAGCGGTGCCGGCTTGATACGGGTCCGTATCAATTGGTGCTTTCATTGCATCGAACTCATCTTTCTTGTTCTTTTACACACTCAAAACTGTAATCTAACTTCATTATGTCAAACAACCAATCTACATCAACAACTCGTCCTTGGGAGCAGGCAATTGCCGAATTTCAAAAAAATTTTGATAGACAAACTGTTACAAATCACCAACTCATTCAACAACTCATTACCTCCGTGTCACGGTTGGAAACGATGGTAACAACAAATAAAAATGCAGCAGTGCAACCTCAAACACATGGAATTTTAGGGCCTCCACCTGATAATCATCTACAACCATCTTTGCAACCGGAGAGTGGCCAAGGGACTCAACGATTTCATATGAAACTTGAGTTACCTCGCTTTGATGGCTCAAACCCTCATGGTTGGATATTTAGAATTCAAGAATATTTTGATTTTTATGATACACCCGACACACAGCGATTGCGAATATCAGGATTCACAATGGAAGGGATTGCTTCTGGGTGGTATCAATGGATGAAAAGGAATGGAATGTTAACTACATGGAAGGAATTTTTACAGAATATCACAAAGCGGTTCGGCGAGTCCCGTTTTGAGGATTCCCAAAGAAAATTGTCAAAATTGACACAGCAAACCATAGAAGATCCAATCTTAGAAGAAGAAACCATAGTGCATGAGCAAGATGACATAATCGCAGGAGATATTTCCAGTCTAAACTCATTGGTAGGCCCGGGTAATCCCAGATCACTTAAACTTTTGGGAGAAGTTAATGGCCGAAAGTTACAGATTTTATTAGATAGTGGCAGCACCCACAACTTTGTGCAACCCAAAATTGCTGAGCAATTACAGTTACATACTTTGAAGGACACACTAAGTGGCACAACACTGAAGAGAAGCACATCATACCATCCACAGACTGACGGGCATACAGAAGTAATGAATCGAGGCTTAGAGCAATACTTAAGGGCTTTTACTCACATCAAACCAACCAATTGGACGTCATACTTGGGATGGGCAGAATTTTGCGCCAATACAAGCTACCACAACTGCATTAAAATGACTCCATTTCAAGCACTATATATAAGACCACCACCCACCTTAGCACCGTATACAAAAGACACACCAACAGTGCAAGCACTAGATGAATTATTGTTGGATCGTGACAGATTGATAAGGCCACTGAAACACAATCTTCGGGAAGCTCAGCATCGCATGGCCAAAAAAGCCAATGCCAAAAAAAGCAAAATGAAATTTTCAGTAGGAGATAAGGTTTGGCTTCGTCTACAACTATATAGACAGATATCAGTAGCACGTAGAAGCTCTAACAAACTAGCACGACGCTATTATGGTCCATTCAACATCTTGGAAAAAATATGGGAAGTTGCATACCGCCTCGAGCTACTACCACAAGCAAGAATTCATTCAGTATTCCATGTCTCACAACTCAAGAAACACATAGGAATTGAAGAAAATATAGAGGTCCAATTACCAGAAGAAATTGTGGGCCGATCACCAATTTCAGGTCTACTAGCACTCTGTGGGGAACAGAATGTTCTAAAAAATGGAAAAATACAACGCCAAGTCTTAGTGCAATGGTTAGATAGTAGTCCAGAAAACGCCACTTGGGAAGCTGCCGAGGAAATGGAACGATGGTACCCGAATCTCCACCTTGAGGACAAGGTGGTCGTCGAAGGGAAGGGGAGTGATACGAGTATATCCACAGTAGAAGAAGGTGAAAATAATGAATTAGGAGAAAGAAAAGAAACAACCCATGCTACTATGCCAAGGAGAAAATGAAGGAAACCGGCATGGATGGTTGATTACATTTGTTAGACTAAGTTTATTCGTAATAGGATACATTAGTTTAGTCCTAATACATTATTATATCATATTAATTAGGAATCATAGTCCTAAGCATAATAGGAGTAACTTAGTATATAATCACCCTGCATGCTAGGGTGAAAGACATGCGAATTATTATTATCTTTTTCTTCTCTACTATCATCTTCCTTCTCTGAAATCTCTCTCCCTCTCTCTCCCTCTCTCTCTCTGATTTTCCCCTCCCCTAATTCCATCTTTGGAGTCTGCATCCACTCAAAGCGGTGCCGGCTTGATACGGGTCCGTATCAACGTGATTCAGATGCAAGTAATAACAACAGTCAGCTCAAACCACAAGAAAAGTATGCTAAGAATCTTGTCAAAAAGTTTGATCTGGAATCATGTAAACCATCCAGACCACCGATCTCCACTTCTACAAAAGTATCGAAAGATGAAACTGGTATATCAGTAGATAACACAGTCTATCGTAGCTTGATAGGCAGTCTGTTGTATCTAACAGCCAGTCGACCAGACATAATGTTCAGTGTTGGAATCTGTGCAAGGTATCAATCTGAACCAAAGGAATCACATCTGATAACGGCAAAACGCATTCTGAAATACGTGAAAAGAACGATACAGTATGGACTCTGGTATTCCAAGGATAGTGAACTGAATCTGGTTGCATATTGTGATGCTGATTGGGCAGGGAATATTGATGATCGGAAAATTACTTCTGGAGGATGCTTCTTTGTTGGGAAGAACTTAGTATCATGGTTAAGTAAGAAACAGAACTCTATCTCACTAAGCACTGCAGAGGCAGAATACATAGCCGCAGGTGGTTGCTGTACTCAATTGTTTTGGATGAAACAGATGTTTCTGGATTATGGTCTTACACAAGGAACAATGACACTCTTTTGTGACAATGTCAGTGCTATCAACATCTCCAAGAATCCTGTTCAACATTCCAGAACGAAACATATTGACATCAAGCATCACTACATCAGAGACCTGGTTGAATCCAAGGAAATTGAGTTGGAATACATTCACACTGACAAACAACTGGCTGACATTCTGACTAAGCCACTGGATGCTAATCGTTTTGAAATTCTCGGATCTGCTCTGGGAATTTGCAGAATTGACTGACTAAAGCAGTTGGTCCGTCAGAGAGGAGTTGGTTTATTACGGGTCAGTGTTATGACTTTGAATTTCCTTAAAGACTCTTCTCTTTTTATGTTAAGAAGATCATCTAAGCTTATTCTTCTCAGAAGATATCTTAAAAGATCTCAATGCTTTTTGAATTTCAAATTCCCTTGGGTTCCGTTTCCTTCCTAAAAAGGAGCTGTACCGTTGTGTCCATCAATCACTTCTGCATGATATTTTGACTTGCCGCATTAATTAGGGTTCATCACCCTTAAGCCTATATGATACCGGGTCAAGAAGAAAGAACTCACCTCAGCTCTCATCTCTCCATTTCCCGTGCTTATCTGCTCTCGGTGTTTTATTCTTCTCCTCGCACTTAATCTTAAATGGCGGACCCCGTAAGAAACATCATCATTAAGCTTGGAAGCAAGGTACACCCTCCGGCGGCAGCCCTCAAACACATTCAGACGCTTCTACAGTTGGCTATGAAGAAGAAGCTCAAGCTTGATCCTCTGCTTCGCGACGAGATTCTGGTGACTGTTATGACCAACTATCCGGAGTTTTATGCTGAATGGTCGATAGATGATTTAACTGAACTTCTTGTGTTGGTCGCCGAAGCCAGTGATGACGTCTCTCCAGTGTTTATTCCAGAACCCTCGGATGGAAATCGGGCCGGGGCATTCCTTCAATTTTTTGCTCAACGTGCCCTAGAATCTGTTGAAGAAGCTCGACGACGAGAGGAGTCCCAAGCTCAGTATCTTGAAGCTGCTCAGAGAGAAGCAACACACAGATAGGAGATTCTTCGACAATGGGTAAATGAATCTGAAACCCCTATTGAAATTTCTCCTGATAGACCTGTTGATTCTTCTATTCCATCGTCTGTGTCAGTTTTGCCTGAAAATCAATCTGCTTTGGGTTCCAAGAAGTCCCCTATGAATGTTGATCCTCTATCTTTGCCTGTGACTAATTTTACTGGTGAAAAATCTGATGCGTTGCATGTGTCTGATGAGAAAACAAAGTCCTCTGATAAGCCAAATCCACTGAGTCTGGTTGTTTATGCTTCTGAGAATATTGCTCTGACTCCGTCTGAAACTGTTAATGTCTCTAAAGAGTCTTGTCCTGCTGTTGATCCTCCTGCCTTACCTGCAACTGTTAAAACTGTTGATTTATCAAGTCCCCACAAGTCTGAGAAAATAGGTGGAGTCCCTGTTTACACTACAACATCTTTAGGAGAAAGCCTGGAACATGTGCGACATTTTGCTGGCTTACCATCTGCTTCGATCCCTCAACCTTATCGAGTGATACACCCTTCAGAATCCTCCAGTGAAGATGATAAGATACTAGCTGAGGTGTATGGATCCCAAGCACCTTCTTCTGCTGTCCCTACTGTTGAGGCAACTGCTCATCCTGATTTCACGAATTTCAGAATTCGAGAGATATCAAATATTGTTGGGAGCTCATCTGCAAATGTTTCTGATTCTAGCCACTCTGTAACTCCAGTCCAGTCCCCATCCAGAGAAACAAGACGGACAAAAAGGAAGAATGTTCCAACGAAGGTTGTTGTTGAAACCAGTGCTGATAATGTTGATGCGGATCAGCCTGTGAAGAAGAGAAAGTCGAGTGCGACTGCTAAGCCTGAAGGAGACCCACCTATCCACCAAGTTTTCAAGACTCTACGTTCCTCTGTTAAGCAACAAGGAACTACTGCTGCTCAAGCTACTTCTGCACCAGCCCCCTCTGCTAGAAAAGGGAAACCTACCACAAGGTCAAGAGGTCGAAGTGTAACTCCGGAGGTTCCACCTATTGAAGGAATTGATACTACTATTTACAAACCTCAGTTTGTATCCCCTGCTGCACAAACAAAATGGGCCACTATGGTCAGAAGGGAGCTGATTGTTCAAAGAACTGTGGATGAGAATCAACTGAACTCCGTTTGCGACATCCTGCCCTTGCTGAATGAAGTTGGTCTTTTGAAAACTGTTACAGATGTTTGCCCTTACTCCAAGCTGCTCACATATGAGTTCTATTGCAATCTCAGTGATGAGATTGACAGTCTCACAGGGCCACGACCGATGCAAATCTTCATCAGAGGGAAGTGGTATGATTTTGGGCCAGATGTGATAAATAAATACTATGGCTTGCCTACAGTGCAAGAAGAAGCTGTTACTGAATGGGACGTGGTGGCCAAAACTCTTACCGGTGGACATACTACATCTTGGCCTACAGGAGATAAGGACTATTTGCTGAGCTCGCATCTCACGTCTAGATATGTCATCCTACATCGCCTGGCTCTGCACAACTGGCTTCCATCAGCTCATTTCAACACAGTTGGCAAGCTTCTGGCAGGGTTCTTATTTAGAATTGGAACTAAGATGCAGTGTGATCTGGGCAAATGGATTTTTTATCATGTTCTAACTCTGATTCATCCCCAATAACAGAAGGTAAGATTACCGTTTCCAAATCTGATTTTTGGCATCCTTACCTCTCAGGGTCTTAAGCCTATGCCCAGCGAAGTGATCAGTCCGACGCTACTATATACTGTTGATAAACGTCTTCTTTCTGGAGATCATATTAAGGATGTCGTTCCTGTGACTGCCCCATCCAATTCGGAACCTGATGCTGTGAATGATGAGTCTCCTCATGCTAAAGATGTGAAGCTTTCCGAACAATTGAAGGCGCGAGTTGCTGATCTTGAGACGGTGCACGGTATCATTGCCAAGCAACTGACGGGTGCGCGCACTGAGCTAGCTACTGTTCTTCTCCGCATGAGCATGTCTGATACTGTTGCTACTGCTGAGGATCCCGTAAAGTCTGGCTGTGACTCTCCCTCAAATGCTTGATCTTTGGCTACCATTAGCAAAAAGGGGAAGTAGTAACTCAGGGGGAGTTTTTGTGATCGAGTACTTTCTAGCCCTGGCTGGGCGTTATGTTTTGATGTCATTTTTTTTTTTTTAGACTGCTTTGGATCTTATGTTCTTTTTTTCCTATGTAATCAGTTTGGACACTTGGGTTGCTTCTTTTAATAACCTATCTTAGTTCTTTTTATATAGTTGAGTTGTTTTGCCAAATAATAGCCAAAGGGGGAGTTTGTTAGTGTTTTTATGTTCAAAAACCTCATATTATAATTGGCAATATTATTATGGCATACTAAGATAGGTTTAGAGTCTATCCGGTTGGGTCTACAGTTTACTGATCAAGCAGAAGCAACGACAGAAGAACTGACACTGAAGATCTGATTTAGGAAAGCTGTTTCCTTAAGAGTCTTACGCGGTATTATCAGCCCGGTATGGAAAGACGATAAGCGTATCTTCAAAGAAGGTAATGGACCTAATCTGCTGAGATTACATTCCTCTTATATAGTCCTACCTTCTACAATCAAAGACATTTTATGGAGAGTGTTTATTGAGGGATCTATAAGTACCAGTTCTTTAAGGGAACTAGGGTTACGCCAAATAAGAAGAAGAAACAGTCCATATCAGCTTGATGAGTCTAGATCTTTGATGGTCATGCACCTTCTCAATACAACATGTTCACGGTGATTAAGATGATGAACTAGAGAAGAGTTACTGCTGCTTAAACGAAAGGACACTAAGATCACACTGTTGTGGGAACAACCTTATAGAGCGTCACTGAAGTGGACTGCATCAGAGCTGGCTCTCCAAGTGAAGGGATTTCATTGGACTTCTGTATGCATGGCTCTCCATCTTCAACAATCCACTAAACCTGTGTAGACTGGGTATGTACCTTGTGTGGGGCACTTGGGTAAGATTATTGTATATCTACCTTTGTACATTGGATTATGACTTAGTGGATTGGACGCCTATGTGATCGTCCCCCAGACGTAGATACACACCGTATCGAACTGGGTAAACATTGTGAGTGTTCGTTCTGTGTGTTTGTTTATTTTTCTCTGATGTTCTCTTCATGATCTATCATTACTAAGTAGGTGCTTAACTGAATCAATCAGTATTCTAAGTCAGCAAACTATTTCTGATATTTTACGTAAAATGAGGAAATGCAAAATTACATAACTAAATTCCTAAAATCTCTAATCATCCTCGGCTTCAGACTCAGCCGCATCTCTAACCCTCATCAGCTTCAGACTCTGCAACTTTGCGGCGAAGTGCTACGATGAGGCGGTGATGTGCTACGGTGAGGCGGCGACGTGCTACGGCGAGGCAGCAACGGGCTGCGGCAAGACGGCGACGGGTTGCGGCTATGTAACGACCGAGACCGAGGTTAGTTTCTTTCTGAAAGTCATTTTTGTGTATTATTATAAATTTATTATTTGTTGTGGGTATACAATGCGTGTGTGTGTGTGTGTGTGTATATATATATATATATATATATATATATATATATATATATATATATATATATATATATATATATATATATATTCATCCTTCATTTGCAGCTGAAATTCGTAATGTTAGGCTGGGCCTATGCACAGATGGGTTTCAACCATTTGGACGCTCAGGACAACAATATTCTTGTTGGCCTATCATCATTACACCTTATAATTTACCTCTGTCCATGTGTATGAAAGAGCCTTACATGTTCCTGACAGCAATAGTACCGGGACCCAAGAACCCTAAGAACAAGCTGGATGTTTTCCTACAACCTATTATTGTTGAACTTAAACAATTATGGGAAGAAGGTGTGTTAACTTACGATGTGTCTTTGAAACAAAATTTCCAAATGAGAGCTGCCTTGATGTGGACAATTAGTGATTTTCCAACGTATGCTATGTTATCGGGTTGGGGAACATCCGGTAAGCAAGCATGCCCCTATTGTAGGGAACACTCACAAGCATTACGACTTCCTAAGGGTGGAAAAATATCATAGTTTGATAATCATAGGATGTTTCTTCCACTTGATCACCCATTTCGGTTGAACAAAAGAAGATTCATCAAAAATCGTGTGGAAACGAGTCATCCTCCACCTATTAAGAATGGAACAGAAATGTTGAGGGAAATTGAAGAATTTGGATTTTTAAAGGTTACCGATGCTGATGCGGATGAGGTGAATAAATCATGCGCTGGTAACTGTGGATGGAGAAAACGAAGTATCTTTTGGGATTTACCTTATTGGAAATCAAATCTCATTCGACATAATCTTGATGTCATGCATATTGAGAAAAATGTTTTTGAGAATGTTTTTAATACGGTAATGAACATTCAGGGTAAGACAAAAGACAATGCAAAAACAAGAGAAGATTTGAAACTCTTTTGTAATAGAAAAGAGTTAGAAAAGAGCCCTTCCACAGGTAAATACCCAAAAGCTTGTTATTCATTAAACAAGAAGCAGAAACAAGTGTTATGTGAATGGGTGTCCAATTTAAAGTTCCCAGATGGTTGTGTCAAATATGGGAAGGTGTGTAGATATGAGCAAATACAGACTATTTGGAATGAAGAGTAATGATTGTCATGTTTTCATGCAAAGGTTGATACCAATTGCATTTCGAGAGATGTTGCCAACCAAGGTTTGGGAAGCAATAATTGAATTAAGCTTTTTCTTTAAAAGCTTAACTTCAAGAGTTATTAAAGTTGAAGAAGTGATCAAATTAAAAGCTGAAATTCCAATAATTCTCTGTAAATTAGAGAGCATATTTGTTCCAGGATTTTTTGACTCAATGGAACATTTGCCTATACATTTGCCGGATGAAGCTAAAATTGCTGGTTCTGTCCAATATCGTTGGATGTATGGGTTTGAGAGGTAACTTTTATAATTACTTTTTTATTGTGTTAAATACTAATATTTGATACATTTGTATAAGTGTATATAATATTTGAAATATGTTGTAATCTAGATTGCTCCATGAGTTGAAAAAAGATGTGAAAAATAAGGCTAAAGTGGAAGGGTCAATTTGCAATGCATACCTAGTTCGTGAAGCATCTATATTCTGCTCTCATTACTTTGAGCCTCATGTTTATACACGTAGCCGAAAAGTACCTCGAAATGATGATGGAGGAGATGTTGAGGACGATGAAGAAATGTTGTCCATATTTAAACATCTTGGCCGCCTATATGGAAGATGTAAGATAAGAAGGTTAACTGATGCCGAGTATTTGGCAGCTCATACTTATATATTGCTTAACTGTGATGAAGTGGAACCTTTCATTAAGTAAGTTCCACATCTATTCTATGTTTAGCCAATGTTGAATCCTTCATTAATATATAATACTCTGAATATAAATTTACAGTTTACATGAAGATATGTTGAAGGAACTTGATTCCAAGGTAGGTGAGTCGGAACTTGCAATACAACAACAAAATTTTGGTTATTGGTTTGAAAATTATGTAAGTACTTTAGATAACTACTTTCTTATAAACTACTTAGAACTTCATTCTCATCTACAACTTTTACAATGGTGCAGGCACGTCAAAACAAAATACAAAACAAGTATATATGTGATTTGTCTAAGTGGCCATTGAGAACTGTAAAATATTATCCTGTATATTTTGTTAACGGGTATAGATTTCACACAGAGTCACATGGTGAGAATAGATCAACAATGAATAGTGGTGTTTGTATAAGTAGTACATGTGGTGATTACTATGGTAAGCTGATAGAAATATTAGAAATTGAGTATACTGCTTTGCCAATTAAACGCACTGTCTTGTTCAAATGTGATTGGTTCGATCCAACTCCTAATGTTGGAGTTAAGGTGCATAACACATATAATTTGGTTGAAATGAACTCCCGGAAAAGGTTTAATAAATTTGAGCCATTTATTTTAGCAAGTCAAGCCACTCAAGTTTGTTTTGTGCCGTACCCTAGTATGAAACGAGACAAAGTTGATTGGTTAGTTGTCTGTAAAGTTCAACCTCGGGGATGGATGGAGTCTTTGAGAAAGGAAAATGTTCCACCGAAAGATATTGCCTTTCAAGAAAAAGAAGTTGAAAGCACTCAAATGGTAAGCAGTGTATATGAAGATTCTTTTGTTAGATTAAATGATGAAAATGTTGAGTATGGTGACATTCTCAATGAGAATTCAGATAATGATTAAGAAGAATGTGATGAGCCTGAATTTGATTATAGTTCATCAACTAATGAAGATGAAAATGATGATTGTTATGATGATGATGATGAAGAGAATGATGATGATAATTAGAGTTGAAGTAAGTAATAACATGATTCATAAGTGATGCCTAAATATATTTTATTTGAAACACTAACATATGATATCTTTCATATTTTGGCAGGAAAGATGGCTAGGAGACGTGGAAGACGTGGACGCGGAGCTAGACTTTTATCTGTACCTGTTCCACCAGTACCTGCATCAACATCAACCCCTGCATCAACATCAACCCCTATATCAACATCAACCCCTGCATCAACATCAGCCCCTGTATCAACATCAAACCCTGTATCAACAACCCCTGCATCAACATCGACCCATGCATCAACATCGACCCCTACATTAGCATTGACCCCTGCATTAGCATCGACCCTTGCTTCATCAGAATCAGAATCAATCCCAATATCAACATCGACACCATTATCTTCTTCCATACCAACCACGCCATCCATAGATACTAATGATCAAAGAGCAGGGGATGATGTTTCAGAGCAACAAAATCATCGAGTTGATAATATAACACATAACGGACCCGTATCGATTGATGTTCAGGGCAAGATGTAAGTTAATTAAATTAAAATAATATTTCAATTTTGAATATATGTTACTTTTTTAAACTATGAATTTCCTTTATTATAGGTTGACTCACTCTGATGTTTGCGCTAGAAAGATTACTAAGCTATTCCAGGAACGAACAGATCCCAATGGCTATGCATGGGCGCAACTTTGTGATGATACAATTAACTTTTATTGGG